GGATCCACAATCAATGCCCATGGAAGCAGCAGTCAAGAAATCAAACGACGTATTGCATTGGGCAAATCTGCTGCAAAAGACCTCTTTAAAATGTTAAAAAGCAAAGATATCACTTTGAGGACTAAGGTGCGCTCAACCCAAGCCATGATATTGTCAATCACCTCATACACATGGGAAAGCTAGTCAATGATAAGGAAGACTGAAGAAGAATTGAAGCCTTTGAATTATCGTGTTGGTGAAGAATATTGAATATACGATTGACTGCCAGAAGAACGAACAAGTCTGTTTTGGAATACAGCCAGAGAGCTCCTTGGAAGCTTGGATGAAGATACTTCATCTCACGTACTTTGAACGTGTTATCATGTGGACCAGTCCCTGGAGAAGGGCATCATGCTTGGGTCAGTGAAAAAGAGGAAGACCCTCAATAAGATGAATTTGACGCAGTGGCTGCAACAATGGACTCAACCATAGCAGTCATTGTAAGAATGGTGCAGGACCAAGAAGTGTTTCATTCTGTTGCGCATGGGGTCAGTGAGTGGGAACCGGGTCAACGGCACCTAACAACAACATCAACAGTTTCTGAAAACTTGGTAACAAAAAATATATATGCATATGTATATATACGTGTGTGTGTATATATATATTTACAACTTTGTAATTTTTTACCAAGTTTTCAGAAACTGTATATTTTACACTTACGGCATGTTTCACTTCTGATACAAAATTGTCAATAATTATACTAAAACAAACTCCTATGAAAACAATGAAATTGTGTTTTGTAGAAAGACATTTTACCCTGCTTTTGTTTCTAGATGAAGATTAAATTAAAGACATAGTTCCGCAGACACGCTAGCCACATTTCAAGTGCTCAACAGCCCATATGTGCTGTGGCTACCATACTGGACGCACAAGAGAAGGGAAAGCATGGTGTACTGTAAATATTAGTTTATTTGTCTGAGCTTGATGGGAAGAAATGGACTTTATGCATCTCAGTATTAGGGTAGGCTTGGCAAGACTTCGTAAAAGGACGTTTTGGGAATGCCTGTTGGATGCCAGATTCTGTATGACCGTCCCAGCAGCTCTTGCTCTAGGTCTATACCCTAGAAAAATAGTTGCACATGTAGCTTTTTGAGGTTATCATTTCTTTATTTCACAATCTTAGTTGGTAAAACAGACAAATATTTATTTCTAATTCACACTACACATACAGTATGGGTCGGTAAAGGGCTCAGCTCCCCACAGTCTATTGGGGACCGAGGCTGATGGATGGTTCCACCTTGTAGCTGCACCGTCTGGAACACTTGGCTTTCTCCATCACTGTAACGGGGAAAGAGTGTAAGAAGAAGATCTTGTACAGGCAATAAAGTGCTTTTTGGGAAACAACACACAGCCCATTGCCTAGAACTAGTCCTGTCACCTTCCAAAGGGGCTGGGAAGCACTGCTGTCTGTGTGCTCAGAAGAAAAAGAACTGTGCATCAGTGAACACTGATGATGTCTATCACACTGGGTCGTGGAGTGCATGCTGAGGAGTATAAATGACAGTCACCTCTGTGGAGAGCAACTTGCCAATCTGATGTAAAATGGTAACAAGTCTGATAAGAGTTGGTAAAATGTGAAGAAACAAGAACTACAACATAATATTTGGCAATATTTAAATTTGAAGGAGCAAAGTACTGTTTTCCTTTGCATTTTCCTGATTATTAGAGATTTATATATTTGTGTATGTTTATTGGACATTTGAATTTTCTGTGTATGGCCTGTTCGTATTCTTTGTCCATTTTACTATTGTACTGTTTTATTTTAAACTTATGGAAGAACAATGGGCTCAAACATAACAATGATTGTGAGGATGGCATAGGACCGGGCAGCATTTCGTTCTGTTGTACATAGGGTCGCTATGAGGCAAGTGACTTGATGGCACCTAACAGCAACAACAACAGAAGAAAAAATAGACATTCGAAAATCTCTAAAAAGAAAACTATAAGGTTTTATGCTTCTTGTGTTTTATTTTAGAAATTCTTCCCTACCTTGAGGACAAAAAGATAGTCTTCTAAGTTAACTTTCATGTTAAAAATCAAAGAAAATGATGAAACTCCCGTACAAAAGTGGACACTGTAATAAGTCACAGGCTGTTAGTTATAGGCTTCATAATTTTTTTTCCCAAAAGGATCTGGATTCCGATTCTTTACATATATTGAAAAATACCTACATCATATTAGATCCACATCCTCACAAAATGGAATTCCACTGGATTACTCG